GGGGTGACTAGGCCTGGCTGGCTGGCAGCTCTGCTGGAAAGAGCTTGCTCATCTAGAGAAGGTGTGTGCGCGTGTGTGAGAGGCCATATGCAGTTGTGTGTGCACAGCACGGCCCCGAGACGCTGCTCACATACAGAATTCCAGGGTTGCAACAAAGAGTCAGTGTGAAGAGAGAGGCAGTATTTCATAGGGCTGCTGACGGTGTGTCTGGGGTTTGGTGAGGCCTGCCGGTGGCCTGTCTGTAGTCCAACAGGGGTTATTTGGGTGGCACGCAGGTGAACAAGAGAGCACAAAGCCCCCCTTTTTGGAAACCTCAGCTGGGCTTCCCCTACCTCATTTGCACCCCAAGAATCTGTCCCAGGGTCTGCGGGGTGGGAGGGAACCACCCTCCCCACACTTCTTGCAGAGGGCAGTACAACTCAATATCTTGGGACTTGATTTTCCCGAGGTCCTGAGGCAGCTAAGGGGGCGTGAGTGAGGAGGCAGAGTAGACAGTGGTGGCAGGGAGAATGCTGAGAGCCAGCAGCCAGTCCCCAGTGAAGTTCTCCATGTGCCCCTGTGCGCTGGACACACTGAGACCAAGGTCAGGGTTCAAAGTGAGGTCAAGGTAGGGGAAGCGGTCAGACTAGGCTGTATCCCCAAAGGTCGCCCTGCAGGAGGAGGGGCTGAAAGAAGACATCCCAGGGAGGAGCCAGAACCAGGGCAGGTAGCTGGGGAGGGTGTGGCTGGCAGCAGGGGGACAGGCCTGGGCAGAGAGGGGGCAGTGGAGTGGGGAGGAGGGGAAGGCCTGGGTCCAGACAGCTTGCATGGGAGTGGGGCACGCAGCACCTAGTGGTGAATGAGAGGGACCAGTGGGGAGAGGAGGGGATCCTGGAGTCTGGGAGACCTCCCGCAGTGGGACAGTGGCTGAAGGGGGAAAGTGTATTCTCTCACTTCTCTGCCCTGCTGTCCCTTTTTGGCTGGGACATCTAATGGAGGGGGATTGGAGGCCTAAGTCTGATGCCAAAGCCACACTCACCTGGAGTCTGGGTCTCTCTCTTCAGCCTCTCTCCCCTGATCTGTGGGAGGGAGGGGGGGTGGTCCCTGAAGGAGTCTGGAACTTCTCCCTGGGGCTGGCTCCTGAATCCTACTGCTGGGTCCCTAGCACTTTGGAGACATCCATGTTGAGAAGGGCAGCCTTGCTCCATCTGTTGGGGTGCTCTAGGGGCCTGAGTGGTTAGGGCAGGCGTCTCAGAACCTCATGGTGGAGGAGGGTAGTGGGAAGGGGAGCACCTGCAGCCACCGGGGCAGCACAGGCCTGTGTGCGTGGGAAAGCGGAGGGGTGTGTATGTGTTTCTGTGTGTGTGTGTGTACACACACGCACACAGGTTTGGGTGTGCTTGCTCACACACATGCATAAAACCCTGCTATCTGTGTCCTCGTGTATCTCCATGTTTATGAACACTGGTGAGTTGTATGTTTTATCGAGACTGCAGGGAACAGAGTGTGATGGGAGGGAAGGGAAGCCTTGCCCTCCTCCCCCTCTTGAGGAGATAGCTGGTGTCCTGAGGAGCTAGCCCTGCTTGTCCTCTGAACTTGGTGACAGTGTCTCTGGGCAAAGGAGCCCAGGCTGCACCACACTAAGTCACATGGAGAAACTGAGAGCAGGCTGGCACAGGAAGAAAAAGAGTTCTACTTAAAAGAAACTGAAAAAGAGAGACTCAGAGACCTAAATGAGATGAGAGGGAAATAACACAGGCTGAAAGGCGCAGACACAGAGAGAACCCAGACTCCGGGAGAGGCAAAGGGCCTTGTTAAGCAGGCGGTACCGGTGGTGAGCAGGCGGCAGCGAGGCCTCCTCCAGGAAAAAAACCCAGCCGACTGCCTCCTTCCCCTCCCCTCCCTGGTCTCTCCTGCTCAGGCTAGGGCTCCAGCTCCAGGCCGACACAAACGGGGCTTTGATTGCAACAGGAAACCTCTCTGGCGGGGGGAGCTGGGCAAGCCGCCGCCGCTGGGGCCCAGGCTGCACCCCCCTCTCCTGGCCCCCTCCCCGGTCCCAACCCCCATCCTGCCCAGCACTCCTGCTTTGGGGCCCGTCCCTCATTCACACCTCCCTATTCCTTCGCTCCACTGCTGCCCCCTCCTCCAGAGACCCCTCCTATTGCCCTTCAGGTGGGACTCCTAAGTTAGGACTTACCCTTGGGGTGGGGCCTCCTTTGCTTTGAAATGCCCCCACTTCAGTTTTTTGAGGGAAGGTTCTAGAAGAAAAGGAGAATTTAGTTTGAGGAATTCAGAGCCAGTTATCCTCAAGCCCCTTCCAGAAGGTGGCAGGAGGGGAGGAAAGGAGGGATGAAGGGGTTAGCTGTTCCTCCCCGCACAGCCTCTTGTTGGCCAAATTCATCCTTGCCAGGGTGGTCGAGGCTCTGAGGGGTGACCACACCAGATTCAGTGCGAAGGGCTTCATTAGTGGGGGAGGGGTACACTTCTCCTTGCCTCTGGGGCCATGACTTTGTGGGGCTCTAGCTGGGAGGGGTGCGCCTTGGTGGTGGGGATCACAGGGAAGGGGGTGAGTCAGGCAGCAGCCCCCCCTCATACTCCCACCAGGCTGGTGGAGAACATCTGGTTCCCATGAAATGCTAGAAGGCTAATGGGTCTAATTGCTGCAATAAGGGCTGGGGGGACTTTGGGGAAAAGAGGGGGCACTAGATTTCCCCATCCTCTTACCTTCTCCTCAAGGCTAAGACTGTCTAGAATGGGGGGTCGGGATTGGAGGTTAGGGTGGGCCTGACACCCCAATGCCTGGTCCCTTCTAAGGCCCCCTCTCCCAGCAATGCCTGGGAAGCACACACAGATGGGGTGATGAGGAGTGGGGTGCATCTGGTGGAGAGAAAACGGGGCTATTGAGAACTCATGACTTCCTGGAGCCCTCCCCCCACTCCTCCTGTGCCCCACTCCCAACCCCCCTCCCTGTGGCCTGGCCACTTCTGGTTCTAATTACCAACCAGGCAGGCCTGACTTAATTGGGACCTTTCAGATTTCGGAGGGGGAAGGGTGGGGGGGACTGACAGCCTAGAGTTGACTAATCAGGGCTCTCTTCTCCCCTTGTTTTGGGGGTACTCCCCACTTTACACTTAATTGACGTTTTTTGCCACTGGCCAGGTTCTGATTCAGAAGTCTGTCACCCCTTTTTTCTTTTTGTGGGGGATGGCTGGAGTCAGAAACGGGGTATTTGGGGTTGGGGCAAGAATAGGGAGCTCAGGCTGGACTGGAAAGAGCAATGCATTCCCTCTTCATCTCTGCTACGAGTCCCTCGAGTCGGCCCTGCCACCCCGCGGCCCCCCATCCGCCAACCAGGCCCTCCTTCCCAGCCCTGCCCCCTTCAGTCCCCGGCAGCCACCCCGGCCCCTCCTCCGCGCCTGCCTTCCCTTCCCTCGCCTACTCTGGCACCCCTTCCTGCTCTTTATTCTTCCAAACAGGCGCCCCACTCCTGCGGCACCCCAGTGCGCCCCCCACCCGGTACAACAGATTCTTAGAAAAGCGCGCCCCGCCCTGGCCCAGCCACCGCCGCCGGGAGGGGGAAGGGGCCGGGCCGGGCGCCTCTCCCGCTCCCCCGGCACTCCCCTTGTGAGCGGCGCTGAGAGAGCCGGCTGGGCCGGCCCGCCGGGCGGCCGGGCGGC